TGAATTTTTATTTCTTTTTAATTATTTTAAAATATTTAAACAGTTTTCTTTCTTTATGATCTTAAAGATCATGTAGGTTTGGGAGCGGGTGGGGGGAGGGGGCCGTGTGAGGGAAAGATGTGTGTGGAATTTGAGGACAAGTGAAATTGGAAACAAATGACATTCCCATCACCCTTTGTTCTGAACATGCTCTGTACACTTCCAAGAATTATCTACTTTTTAGGTTTGTCAGACTGTTTTACCTTTTCCCTCCCCCTTTTTTTCTAAGCCCCACTCCCCTCTTTTACTTGAAAGATTTTATTGTGTAAAAAGAAGTTTCACAGGTCAATAAATTTCGAGGGAAATGAGCATTGGTCCAAAAAGGAAAATAATCAAGATTTTAGGGCTTTTATTTTTTTCTTTTGTAATTGTGTAAAAAAATTTTAAAAATTAAAAAGCAGAATTTTAATGTGAAACCTTTTTTTGCTATAATCATTAGTCTTAGAGGCATCGTTAGCGTAGTGTGTGTGCAAGACCATTTCCTGCAGCCTTTCCTCAACAAGTATCTTCTATTTTTATCATGAATTCCCTTTTAATCAAGTGTAGGTTATTTAAAATAAATTCCTACAACTTAACTGAGTGTCGGTGTCTCTGTGTTCTTTCACCTCCAGCCCTGGATGTGAGGCCCCCGTGGTCGCTGGGCTGGTGATGATGGTGGGATGCAGTTCCTGTTCCAAGCCCCAGCAGGAATTCCCTGAAGGATGTGCCCATCCCTGCCTTGCTGTGATTGTGCTGCCCCCTCCGTGGTGCCCACCCTGGCTTTCCACGCAGGCACAGCTCGCAGTTTGCTTTGCCCTGGGGGAAGCCCTGCCCAGGACAGCAGAGAGCAGGAGCAGGGGGATGCAGTGAGCCCAGAGCTGCTCCGCCTGGTTTCTCTGCTGCCTTTTATTCAGCCCCAGCCCTCTGCACAGAGCAGGATGGAGGGAGGGCACCTCCTTCCCCTCCGTGCCTGGGAAGGGCGGGAGGCTGGGCAAGGACTCAGGTGATGAGGCTGATGGATGCATTCTCCCCCCTGGTGCTGGGAGCAGCCCTGGCCTGGTGTCCTTGGGGATTGTGGAGCAGGCAGAGCCCTGGCTCCTCTGCAAGCACCTCCCCGTGATCCCAGAGCTGGGGTGGGCTCCCAGACCCCCGAGGGTGGCTGTGGGGCCAGGCTCTGGGCAGCCAGCCCTGAGCTGCTTCCTGCTGCTCGCTGCGATCCGCAGGCACTTTGTTGTGGCTGCACAAGCTCGGAGTCTGGCAGGAGTTTGCTCTCTGGGGCCTTTCCAAGGTGCAGCGGTGAAAATGCCAGTGGAGAGGGAAAGGGGCTCATTGTGCTCCCAGCCTGCCCGTGCCTGAACAATGCAGCCTGTAAAAATATCATTTCTATTTATACGGCCCTGCTTCCCGCCTGCTGACCTGGCCCAGTTATCCCCTATCTTACAAATTCTAGTATTCTTGAACAGGGAATTGGGGAATGCAGTGGGAAGGGATGTTCTCCCATAGAGGGGGTCCCCCACCCCAGAATTGCTGCTGGCAGATCCACCTGGGCATGGTGGGGTTCTCTGGCCAGGCTGGGAGATCTGTGTCTGATGGCCAAGGCTGGAGCGTGTTGTGCCTCTCGGTCAGCAAGAAGGAGAAGGATGTTGGTGCAAAACCCACCCTTGAAAATTCCCCCTGCTCCCTCCCAGCACTGGGGAGCACAGGCTCTGTCCTGGGCAGGGGGCTGAGGAGGGTTTAATCGGTGGCTTTGCCTGTGGCACAGCATGCTGAGGACCACACACCCCACGGAGAATTCCCAGACCCCACTGACTCACTGTGCAAACGGAGAAATGGCCACAAACCTGCCACATCCTGTCTTGCATCCCTCTGCTGCAGCGCCTGTGCTCGCCTGCCCTAGTGCCACCACCCCCACAACCGGGCCTGTGTTTGGCAGCCAGGGAAACTGAGGCAGCAGTGACATGACCGGAGGAGAGGACACAAATGTAGCTTTGAACTGGATCTTGTGCAGCACAGGGCCTGGCGGCCAAGGGGAGGTGAAAAACCCTGCAGGATGCAGCCCCATCCCCCTTGAAGTCTTAAGGATTCCGGGGTTGAAAATTGAAACCGGGTGAATTCGATATTAAAGAAGTGCGGGGACAGGGAGCGGGAGCTGCAGTGGGTTTCTCGCCGGGTGCCGGCTGTCACCCAGAGGGAATTTGCAGCGCCGGGCAGGGGCTGTGGGGAGGCAGCCTGCGGGCACGGCTGTGCCCGGCTCCCGGAGAGCGAGCCCCCGCAGCCCCGGGCGGCTCTGCCCCGCATCCCGGCACAGCACCAGCCCGGGCAGCTCCGCACCGCCTTCCCCCGGGGCCCTCCGCGCCCTGCTCCCTGCAGCACCACGGCAGCAATTCCCCCGTGGGGATTCTCTCGGCTGGTGTTGTCTTCACCCAGCCCGGGCAGCGCAGAGCAGGCAGGAATGAAGAAATAACCCGGAGAGAGGCATCTCGCCCAGGGTCTGCACCACTTCCTTGAGTATCAGGCACCCACTGGGCAGAGGGATGCTGCGCTGCAGGGACCCCCGCACCTGCCTGTGGGGTGGGCTCGCAGTGCTGTGTCCCTGGATTCTGTTCCCCGGGCTTTGAGCACGCCTGGGGCTGTCCTTAAGCCGGAGGTCACCTGGCATTGGCCTGTTCCCGGTGGGAGGATGCAGCTGCTCCACGAATCCTGCAGGATATGGGGGATGGCATCCCGTGCTCCGGAACTCTGAAGGGGGAGGTGCTGGGGCCACTCCGAGGGGAAAATCCCCCTTTTCCCTGAGGCGTTGGCAAGGGGAGATTGCAAGACCCGCAGGCTTCCACAGCCATATGATGAGCACAGTCCAGAGAATTTCTTCAAAAGCAAAACAGGAACATAATGGAAGTTTTTACTGCCCTGAGGGGTGGGGATGATTGTTCACAGCCTGGCTGGTACAGGAGCTGGGGCCACCAAATGGGGCTGACAGACAGCAGGCACACAAGGGCTATCAAATTTCCTCTGCTGTCAAATTAAACAGAGGAATTCCTTGGCATGCAGCATCTTAGACACAGAGAGCTAATGCAAGGCTAAAAGATGATCAGTCAAACTTAGAAAATAAAAAATATCCACTGCAAACAGCTCATTGTAAACCACATCCTCCACGTGTTGGCCTCAGCCACCCCGAGCTCCGAGCTGAGGACACACCTTGCCAGGTGCTCTCCATCAGCAGGAGCTGGCAGTGTTTGGGAACAAGGGAGTTACCTGTTCTGCTTCTTCGATGGCCACACTCCATTCCCAGGTTTTGCCCTCAAAAACAAGGGTGTGCCCACAATGCTCAGCTATTTTAAGACCACTGGGAGCCGGCTGTTTCCTGCCGGTCCCAAGCGAGGCCATTACACAAGCCAGGAGCCACTTCCCACGGCGGCTCACCCCGGAGAGAATGAGGCCCGGAGTGCTGTGCCAGCACCGAGCCCAGGCTCCAGCAGCTCTGGCTCAGCTCAGCACATCCCCAGCATCCTTACAGTGCTGTCATACACTGCTCACTTCTATCAGGACAGGTTTAGACTCTCACCTTGCCTGTTTGATGCCCAGACGCCAGGTAGGATCCTAAACGACCTTATAGGGCTCCTACTGTGTGTGGATGCATGTGTGCTGGGGAATGTCCCTGTGGAGGCAGGTGGAGCAGTAGGACACAGAGAGCTGCCCACATGTGGAATCCACTCAGGGATGGGCCCCTCACTAAGAAGATGACACCCTCCCAGTCCCAGCTGTGAGCTGGGGGGCTGAGATAAGGACTGCTGAGCACAGGCTGCCTTGCCATGGGCCTGTGGGCACGTGTGTGTACGTGTGTGTATTCACAGCATCATGAGGTTTGGAAAAAAGAAAAAAAATAATGGGATCAATAAAGTTGGAAAAGTCCTCTAAGATCATCAGGTCCAAGCATTAACCCATATTTATACATTTATACATACAAATGGGAAAGCCTGAGCACCGTGTGCCATGGGATGTCCTAATGTAAAGGAAGGCACGGGGAAGAAGGTCAGAGGCACACAGAAAGGGAAATCACAGGCTTTAACCACATGAATGGAGCAAACTGCACTGAAACGCTTCCCAATTCAACCACTTATCCCCTTGCTAACCCTGCTTTTGTGTGGTCTCTAACCCCTGTTTTTTGTGGGGCCAGAGAACAGCTGGAGAGTGTCCAGTGACCCCCAGCTCCCTACAGGTCCCCCAGGGGTGGGATGCCACAGGCCACCCTGCAAGCCCGGTCCTGTTTTCCATGCCAGCACGGATCCAGCTGGGATCCGTGTGGAGGAAACTCCAGCAAACGCAGACCTGGCTTCATCAAGAAGCCACACCACAGTGCCAGCCATACAGAGGGCTCTGTCCCCCGGAAAAGCCATCGTGGGATGCACTGCTGGAACTCCACACGTGGCATGCCAGGATCCCACACAAACCCTGCTGTGGGTGCCACGGCCCTAAGGTATCCTGTGGGCTGTGTGGCCCACGGGGGACCTGCGGGGTGCAGGGTGGTCCCCTAGGTGTGCCATGGGGTGCACAGTCCCCGATCCCCAGGGGTGCCATGGGGTGCACAGTCCCCAATCCCCAGGGGTGCCATGGGGTGCAGATTCTCCGATCCCCAGACATCTCATGGGCTGCAGAGTCCCCCCGTCCCGCAGGGGAGCCGGTGCCATGGGGTGCAGAGTCCCCCGGTCCCCCATGGTGCGGAGGGTCGCACGGTTCCCAGCGTGCTGGGCGGTCTGTGGCACTCCATCCCGCACCACGAAGGAGCCGCGCTGTGCGGGGATGCTCCGAGCCCCCGCAGCACCGGCTGCGCGCTCCCCGCACGCTGCGCGCCCGCCCTCCGCGCCGGCAGCGCTCCGCCCCTTCCCCTCCCTCCTCCTCCTCCTTCCTCGCTCCTCCTTCTCCCTCTCCTCCTCCTCCTCCTCCTCCGCTCCCTCCCGCGGCGGCGGCGCGGGGCGCGGCGGGGCTCGGGCGCTCCCGCTCCCCTTTGTTCGCCGCGCCGATGGCGGCCGGGCCGGGCGCCGGCCCCGGGGCGCCCAGCGAGGCGGAGGCGGCGCAGCTGTGCCGCAGCTTGGAGATGGGCACCGTCATGACCCTCTTCTACTCCAAAAAGTCGCAGCGACCCGAGCGGAAAACTTTCCAGGTGAAGCTGGAGACGCGGCAGGTCACCTGGAGCCGCGGCTCCGAGAAGGTGGAGGGGGCCGGTGAGTGCGCGGCGGAGCCCGGCGGGAAGGGGCGGCCGAGGGGCTGGAGCCCCGCCGGGAGCCGGGGCTCGGTGGCGAGGAGAGGGGCACGAGAAAAATAAAATAAAATAAAAATAATGAACCTCCAGGCTCTCCGCGCCCGGCATCTCCCCGCGGGCAGCCTGGGGGGCGGAGAGGAGTCCGGGTCCCAGCGTGGGGCCGACCCCGACCGCCCTGTGCGCGGGGGATGCGCGGGGGATGCGCGGGGGATGCGCGGGGGATGCGCGGGCCGGTACCGCCGCTGCCCCCGCCCAGCGCCGCCTCCCAACTTTCCGCATCCCTGTTCGGCACCAAACTTCCCCTGGGATAAACGCGGTGTTTTCCCGGGTGGTGCCTTGGCGAGCAGCACCTAAGGGCGGTAGGGAACCTCAGAAGGAGGCAGGACTAGTGTGAGCCCTTTTGCGGTTGCACCTCGGAGCAACAGATGAGATCGAACGGAAAAGGTTAAACAGTAGGAAAACCAACCCAAAATATTGTGCTGTAGTTCCGTCCTCTTCCCCGTTGCCCTCTGCGCATCAGCCCGAGGGTGCTGGCACAGGGTGTGCTGAGCCCCGGCTTCCTGTGCTGGATGGGGGCGAGGAGGACAGAGGAAAGGATGAAACCTGAGTGTAAAACCAGGTTTCTTATGCAGGGCCGTAAGGTGGGAAGGGGGTGAGATCTGGCATGCTCTGCACTCTTAAACTTGGTGTTGGTTTCCCAGGTTTTCTTAAATTATCCTTCCTGCCCCTGTGTGCACCAGCACGAGGACAGGGGCCCTGCTCTGTGTGGGACGTGAGGAAGAGGGGACGTGCACGAAGGCCAAGTGGTGGGAGAGCTGGTACTGGCTGTGGCACTGGCCTTCCCCATGCTGAGGGATGTGGCAGAGGCCCAGCAAGGCCAGGGAGGGGTTGTCATCTCTCCTGGCAAGTGCTGCTGGTCCAGGATGGAAAGCTGGGATGCTATTAGTACAAGGGGCTTTGATGAGGAAGGGGCATGGAGATGGTGGCCACACCTCTGTAGCAGGTCCACAAAATGCTAATCTGGGGCTTTGGTTTGCCCTGGGACCCTTTGAGTCCTCTACCTTGCGCCCTGTGGGGTCTACAGGCAGATCTGGAGGGAGCCTTTAGCATCATGAGGACGTGCAGCTCCCCCATCTCTTTCCCAGAAGGGCCTGTGGGAGCAGTGAGGCAGTGTGAGAGCAGCATTTCATTGACCCTGGGCTTGAGCTGTTCTCAAACTCAGGCAGAACAAACATTGGTCTTGCTGGGGAGATTCTGGTCTTGGGCAGAGCCCACAGACCACGTGTGCCCATGGGGGACAGAGGTGTCTGCATGGGTGGTTGTTCCTGGGGACAGACCTGGGTGTGTCCCTGTAACCTTTTGGGGAAATCTGGAGAACTTCAGTTTCTGTACCAGAGTTGTGGGCCTGACAATGATAAAGCCACAGCTGCAAGGAATCCTTGTGCTGTGCAGACATCCAAGAGCAGTGAAAGCAAAGAGAGTGTCCCAGGGACCGAGATGACTGTTTCTTTTAATGTCACAAAGAAAAATTCCTTGGGGCCTCTCTACTGTGCCACAGGCAAGGTGTCTGACTGGTGGTTTTGGTCTCTGGGCTCCCCATGTGTGCCTCCCTGTGCTCGTGGTGATCTCACACTATGTGTGACCCTCCCAAGTGGCCAGGTGGGCCTTGCTGGACACAGAGGACATCAGGCTGAAGAGCTGCTGTATCTTCAGCCTCATCTCTCTGATGCCAGATGCTTTCCCCATGGCATCCTCTCTCACCAGAGCAGCTCACCCTGCCCTCAGTCCCCTCCTCTGGTGTCACCCAGCACCCTGAGCTTGCACGGCTGAGGAGCAGAGCTTTGCTTTAACACTTCCTGGACAGAACTGTGGGGCTCCAGCTGGAAATACCAACCTGTGTACACAAGTAGTGCCTGGGTTTCTAGGCAGGCAAGGCAAAGCCATGGGATCGATGGCCAGCAGTACCAGGTTCTTGGCCAGCTTCCCTATTTTTATCTGGATGTGCTTTCTGGGCAGAAAGAGGATGCCTGGGAAATGCTGGGTGTGTGACAGCTCCACTTCAAGGTATTCCCCTCCTGGCTCATCCCCTTGAGGTCAACATTGCCATGGCCATGGTGGGAACCAGAGAACCAGAGGGGGAATAATCTGGAGTTGAGCTCATCGCTTTCAGTGCAGGGTATGGGCAATGACTGATCCAGTTCTCCCCATGAAAAGAAGCCATGCCAGCACAGGGAGCAGTAGACTGGGGCTGGTAGGGACACTGGGTTTTACTTTTTGTGGTGGTTCTGGTTTGGCCTCAGCTTGCACTATGAGGAGAGTAGCCAGCTGTCAGGGGATGAGGTGTTCCTTCCCATGGAACAGCATCTCCTCCAAATGGTGTCTGGGGACTTACAGATCAAAGATTGCTGTGTCCATGGGTCAACAATGGATGTTCTTGTGGTTCTTGAGAGCTGGAGAACACCACAGAGTTTTAGACTGCTCTGGATACATGTTAAATGTCTAAGTAGGAATGATTCTCGGGTTTTATCCATTTCAGAACAGGTGAACATCCACGGTATATTGCATATGGAGGTTTTGGGCTCGGGGCATGTCTGTGTGGATGGCCATGTCTTGGAGAGGTCTCCATGGACACCAGCGACAGAGGATCTGTGCTCCTTTCTCTGCTCCTGTGGGCTGTGCAGAAAGGAGATGTGTGTTTCTCCCAGAGAGGGATGGGTGACCTGGCTCCATGGCTGACAGTGTTGGGAAGAGCACAGCCCCTGTGGCTGCAGCTTGGGAAGCTCCTGTTGCAGGGTGGGCAGTGCATGAAGGGACAGAGGTCAGCTGCACGTGGGCTAAAGCTGCAGTGTGCCAGGAGGAGAGGGCACAGCCCCTGCCATCGTTCCTCGGTGTGGTGGTGCTCGTTTTGGAGCTTTGCCATCACTGTCAGAGGTGTCATGGAGCAGCTGCTGCCCCAGGATCTGCGGGGGCTGGTCTGTCAGTGCTTCTGATCTCTGCAACAGGCAGCCAGTTCTTTGCCTTGAAAACAACATTTGGGTGGTGCTTGGCTTTCTGTGCACACTGATGTGGAGCTTAGAGGGGAGCAGAACCTGAGCAGCCTGAAGATCACCCCACTGCTGGAGAGAGATCCAGGGAACTTCTGTCCTCTGTGCTTTTGGTGCCTCAACAGCCTGGTGCTGTCACTCTGAGTTCCCTCCCTCTGCCTTGCTGCTGTGCCCAGAGGTGATGTGCCACCTTTATTTCAAGTTATTGAAGCCAGCAGGGTCTGACTGGCCTCTGCAAGGAACTTTTGGCACTTCAGGACAATGATCTCTCTGTGCTTCAGCAGATAGTGAGATAGATAGTGAGATAGGACCATGGGGCTGCTAGATGGGGAGGAGCCTGTGTAGATGTGGCACCTGGGGCATGGTTCAGTGGTGGACCTGGCAGTGCTGGGTTAATGGTTGGACTGGGTGGTCTCAGAGGACTTTTCCTACCCTAAAGATTCTGTGTTCATCACCACATGTGCAGCAGATGGGCAGGTAACCAGCTGGCCTCACTGACCACCATGAAGCTGCCCAGCCTTGCCTGCCCAGGAGCCAGGAGGTGCTGTGGGACGGAGAGCAGAGAGCCCTTGCTGGAGTGACAGCCCTGTCCTTGTCCCCAGCCTTATGACCCTTGTGGAGCGCTTTGGGAGCGCTGCATGAAGACCCTGTGTGTGTCCCCACTCTGCCCTCCGTGAGCAGGGCTCCAGCCAGCTCCAGCCTCTCCTCTTGGACAGGACCCTGCTCCTCCCTGAGCTCTTCAGCTCTCGCCAGGGCTCTGAGAATCTCCCTGAGCTGAGGGCTGGGGAGGAGGGATAAGCTCCCCTGGGCAGGAAGCCTTTCCCTTTCCAAAGCAGTTGCCTCCTCCTGTACTTCTTCAAAACTGTGCAAAACTCAATCCTGGTTTGTGCCAAAAAAAGGGCTTTTTTTTTTTTCAATTACTACTTGTTTTTATTCATAGGGTTCCAGCCAGGTTTAATTACCAACACGTTGCTTTCTTGCTAATCAACTCTGCAGAGGGCCTGGCTGCTACAATAGGAAGAGTGCTAATAATTTTCTATTCTTTTTGTTAAGCACCCAGAGCAAAGTAGAGCTAATCCCTCAAGTCAGTTGTCTTTCATGCATTTATTTTCTTTTAAACTTCCTGTGTTAACTGATGCTTTATTTTTAATAAAAAAGGGTCTTGCATTCTTACCTTCTCATGCTGGGGGGGTTATAGGCCAGCTTCAAATTGAACAGTTTGCCTTGAAACACGTCAGAAAATTCGGAGAGTTTGCTCAAAGAGTGAGCTGAAAATTTGGAGCAGATGTTTGTTTTATAGGGGAGAGAGAGGGGAAAAAAAAAAACTACCTCACAAAAACCCTGGTTGCATTCTTGCTTTCAGTGAAATGAGCTCAGTCCCTTGGAGGTGGAGAAAAGCTATTGCCTGTGTAAAAGAAAAGAAATGAGCTGTAAAATATTAATGCAAAGTGGCTCTGAAGTGTGGTTCGTACTCGCCTCGGCCGTTTCAAGCACCAGCCTCTTTCATTAGTCCACTGGGGCACAGCTTCTTTAATTATCTTTTTTTGGGGCCATTTGCTTAAGCTGAGGAGCTTGAAGCTCTTAAGAAACAAATGAGCCAGAAATGGTTTTCAAGGAAAAAATAGCTTCAGAGTGAGCTCCTCTTGGGGTGCAGGATGCAGCCCCTGCAGTGGGCAGGAGTGGGAGGAGGGAGCTCCCCCTGAGGTGCCTGGAGCAGGGGTGGGAAGGGGAGAGTGTGGCTTGTGAGTGTCGGGATGGTTGAAGCTTCCCCTGTGATGCTGTGCTGTGGGAGCTTCTTGAGGGCAGGTTTTTTGCGTCCCCCTTCCTGCCAACAAGGGCATTTATACTACCCACAAAGCAAGTGAGCTCTGCTCTGCCTTCACCTCCAAACTGAAACAGCCTCTCCCCTCACTTCACA